CCAACTCAAGAATTAGGTCCTATATTAAGGATCGGAGGAGTATCAACTTTCTAATTAAATCATACATTAAGGATAAGAGAATAGAGAGAGAGAGAGGTTAGCATACTGCACAGCCACTCAATCTCACGTTTTGTACAAGTCTCACAAACGCAATTTCACACCTTTCACACCTGGCCACAACGGCACTGCTGCTTTACCCATCACAAATCCGGACAATAAAAAGGTGTTTGAATTAGGTTTTTTAAAGCAATTTTGCAGAGCTTGATGTAAGTTACTTTAGACGAATTTTTGTCTCAACTTATATAACAATATTTTTTTAAGTGTTCATAAGAGTGGCCAAACTCCCCTGAATCAAGAATCCTCAAAGGCTGAAGCAAAGATCCTTCCAAATCCAGAAGTCAAGTGTGAATCATTTATATTTGTTTGAGCCTAGCTGTGACCTTTTCACAATATAAGAGGAATGAACTGAACCGACCTAGCCCATCGATATCGGGCCTGTTTTTTTTTTTTTTGTCTGGGGGGGGGGGGGTTTGTTTAAAAGTGAACACTTCACAAGAAACGGAAGTGAAAATCCGAGATGATAGCGTGGCAAGCAAATTCGGCGAGCAAAGGCAGTGTGACTATAAATATGAAAGTCATTTTAAATTAATAATAATAATAATAACACAATTACAATCATTAATTAATAAATATTTTATTATATAATGTGATTTATTATAATAATATTTATTATAACCATATTTATTGAGTATAAATATATTTAATGTGTTCACATAAACCCACATATATATGTTTATTATAATAATATTTATTAAATATAGATATATAATATATTTATTTTGGTTTTTTGGTTATAACTGAAAATTTTTTTACTAACCAAACCGAACTCCAAAACTGAATTATTACAAAAATAAAAACTGAATATATAACCAAAAACTAAAATAATCAAACTGAAAAACCAAAATTGAATTCGGTTCTGTTTTCGATTACGGTTCGGTTTTACTCACCTCTAAATATGAGTAACAAGCCTTGCCATTCAAAAGTCATCAGATATGAGTTAGACACCAAATCTCATGGCATCCCAATCTTAAATATCATTGCATCTATCTTCAAATTAAATAACTTCACAACCTCAACCTTATTTAGTATATATGCCTTTTTTAAAAATATAATAATAAATAAAATATGAAATAATATATTTAAACTAAAAATATAGTCATGTGACTTATAAATAGTAATACAAATTTTCTTCACCTATCTTATAAATACTACTTTGGTTTTATTCATATGTGGAGAAGAAATTTTTTTGAGCAAAATACTCTAACCATTATTCCATTTTGTTTTAATTATACAGCTCTTCTCCCTATTTTGATAACATAGGTTATAGTCCAAACCATTAATACTGTTAAGAAATATTCTTGAAATTTTTTTAAAGTATTTTTTAATTAAGATATTAAAATAAACCTTATTTACTACTTTATCCCTCATTATATTAAATTAGTAGTTTGTTTTTTTAATATTAATATTTATTAATAATCTATTTAATATGTTTACCAAATTTAATAAATTAAGACATAACTTTATCATTTTATTGAAAATACATATATACAGTTACAAAACATTTTTTAGTAATATATATTTAAAAAATTACATCAAAAGTAGGTTTTAAAAAAATAAACGAGACCAAACGTTTAAATTTATTGCAAAATAAAATTTTTTATTTATAAAATTAATTAAATTCATAATACGATAATCAATTTAATAGTATAACAAAAAATATTAAATTTTTTATTAATTCTTTTAATTTCAAATAAAGATATATACTATATGATTAAATGATAATTATTAACTAATAGAGGGGTATTTTGGTCAAAATAATAAGTTAATTATATGGTTTAACGGTTAACTAACAGTTGGGTGGATGAAAATTGAATTTTAAAATTAGAAGGGAGACTTGTGTAACATATATTTTAATTTTAAATAAGATCCATATAAGTTTTCAAAAAAAAAAAAAAAGTCTCTATAATTTAGGTTAAATAAAAAGGATGTTGATGTATTTTACTCAAATATTTTTGTCATGTTTATAAGGTCAAGAAAGAAATTTTTATATAAATATATACTTTTATTCTTTATGCTCAGATTATTTATCAAATAAAAACAAAGTTAAAAGTTGCTGAATTTCAAAACAGAATTAATAAAATTTAAGCTTTTGTTTGACAAGAATGAAGATTTATAAACAAGCAGGAGTTTTTCAGGACGTGTGGATAAAAATTAAATTATAATTTTAAAAATAATCTTGCAAGATATGAAATAATTATGGAAGAAAAAATTTTACTTCCGCAAATCACACACTCCTTTTGTTGAAAAAGCTGCCGTTGAACAGAGAGCCAGGACAAAAGGGCTGAAATGACACCAACAGATGGACCGAAATAAACAGTTCACAAACTTCGCTAGGAAGCAAAGTCACCTCCACTTTCTTTTTCTTTTTCTTTTTTTTTGGACCAGAAAGTCACCTCCACATTCGTGACGACAATTTTTCATTAAATATTGACGTCCATTGCTCTTTTTATTCTACTCGGTAGAGAGAAAATTTTATTTAATTCCGTTTATCATGGATTGTTAAATTTTGCTACACAAATATTTTATTTTATCATTTTACAAATTACTTATAAATAAAATTAAAAAATTACTGCAAATAATTAAAAAACACGAGAGGATGTCTAATCTCTTTCTTTCTCATAAGATCCATTTAAAATTATTTATAAATAATTTTTTAATTATAATTTATAGGTATACGATATATATACAAAAAATTTATCTTTCAATTTATAAGATAACACGTAAATAGGATAAATATATAAAAAAAATTTATCTCAATTTACATAACACGTATTTATAGGTACTTTTGAATGCCATTTTAAGCAAGCCCATAAAGTTAGTCCCCGTCCTCCCCCCGACCAAGTTTCATTCCAACTTAACTTTACCTTATTTTTAATTAAATGTTTACATAGAAAAAATGGCTGAAAAAATTCTCAATTGCAAAATTTATTTTCCAAACGTAGATCAAATTTGGTTAAAAACTCAATAACAACTTACTTTTTTATTAACGAAATTCATCTTTAACAACTTGCAATCTATATTTGATAATATATAAAATGCAAGATATTTGCACATAATTAAAAATATATTAGACATGTATAAAAAAGAGTTTGATCAGCTGAAAACGAATTATATCTGTTCAGAAATCATGACCATTATGTGCCTTTAAGCAATAAATTTTGTAATGCAAGATTTTTCAATAGTTTTTCTTTCTGCATTATGCTTTATTATGATATTCTTATATTAACCCACAATAGGAAAACGAGGCTAGTAACTAATGATAAGGTTCTCGCTTGGAAATACTATATACTTGAATTAATTTTGCCACATACATCTAATTAACATAAAAAAAAACTAATCATGTTAAAAATTATACACAGATATAAAGAGATGATTATAGGCATGATAATTTTTTATGTGCATAATAAATAAATTTTATTTTTTATAAAATATATATTTTTATTTTATATTTTATAACAATTTAAATGTCGCTTATTCAGCATCATAATTAACTAATTATGGACATAGGCATCGATATTTATATTTGGAAAATGTCGGCAAAAATATTTATAATTGGAAAGATTGTAAGACCCAAAAGAAAACTAAAAGTAGCTGGGTAAAAATTAAATGAAATTTCACGGATTCACGAATTTTTTTCCCCCCAATACGTTAAGGTCATGGGATAGTCGGATAGATAGATACATTTGAATTTTACATTTAAAATCTATGTATTAAAATTTTTTTTGTTTGAGTAGTGTTTAAATGTTTTAGTTCCAATCAGTTGTTTCGGTGTGAACATAATTTGGAGGAAAACAGTCTAACACAATGGAGAAAGCACAAAAGGAAGTTGGGACATGAATAGGAAGGATGAAGGTTAGATTGGTTAAAAAGAATGGTTTAGATTTGACTTGGTTAATAAAAGCCGGCGAGTCAATCATTTTTATAAAAATTGAAAAATTTTGCAATTTTAATACAAATTTAATAAATCAATTAATTATTTAATCTGTGATTTTGTTTTTATTAGAATAGACAAAAGAAGATACACTACTCGGTTTTTTTTTATAAGCAATAATTCCCATCCCTATTTTTTTAAAAAAAATATAAACAATATTTATAAGTTATTTTAAGTTTTTGTAGCAATTTTTTTATTTTATCCCTATTAATTATTTATTTTAATATTTAATATATTTGTTATCTCATTTTTAAATTATTGTAATTCTTCATTACACATTTTCTCCCTTTCATAATTATTTTTATCATAATAATTATTTTATTCACTTTTTTATATTCTTTTTCTCGTAAATAAAAGTATTTTAGAAAAAAGCTTTCAATTTATACTTTTTTTTTAACCAGCACTTTCAATTTTTATTTATTTATTATATTTAACTAATATTTTAACAAAAAATAGTAAAAAAGGACCGTCAAAATAGAAAAATTGTATACCTTACAAAAATTATTATAAAAACCTATATTATTATTGTCAAAATTTATACTAATATTATCATGAATCCTTATTTATAATTTTTTATTTTAACAGTCTGCTTTTATCATTTTTTTAATATTTTAATCTATATAATACTCTTCCGGTTCTTAATATAAAGCCTAATTATTAAGTTAGTTTTAATCCTAAATATAAGATATATTTCTCATATTTGTTAATTTTTTCTAAATTACCCCTATGGATACTCCCTCAACCATAATCAAGTAAAAAAAAAGAGGAGTATTAAAAAAGATAATTATAATATTTTAAAAAAATGTGTCACATTTTTTATAATTAAATAACTTATTAAATTTTTTTAATCTGATCAAATAACAAGTAGAATCTAAATTTGCTTACAAAAGACGGCCGAGGGAGCAACATGCCAACATACACCCTGTGAACGTTGGGGGGCCAAAAAAGAAGGCAATTTGTAAACGTTGAGGTTGCCGTTAAAATGGAGAAACTCGATTCGCCCTGATTGACGTTGAGCCTATTCCCGAGGATGAGTTTGGTAAAGGAGTGTCCTGCTTCCACTCCAGTCCAGCACCTTCATGACACTACTCTCGCTGCGAAGGGGAAGAGGAAAATGTGCGAATCGGAGCCACCGTTGCCATCTACTCCTCCCAAATCCGCACCCCATCCTCATCTTTCTTCGCCTGGGACTTCGACGCCGTACAATCACCGCCTTCTTCAAAGAATGCAGACTGATAAATGCTTCCGATGCGGCCAACAAGGTCATTGGATGCGTGACTGCCCTATCAACTCTCAAAATCTCAAATGCAAAGGTCCCACCAGTGAAAATTCCGAGATTCCGAAGATTTATTGCCGTTGTGGTCATGGGTTCTGTGAGGTCAGAAAGGTCACGAACGATCGTAACTATGGGAAAAGCTACTACGTCTGCCCCATCAAAAGAGTATGATATAAATCTATCGGTTTTTTTTTTCCTTTTCAGTTGGTGATGATAGCCGTTAGCTGTTGGGAAAGCTTGCGAGTTTTCCCCATTATTTACTGAGTTTGGAACTTGGCTTCTTCTTTCAGGGGAAGAAATGTAGAGGTTTTGTAGGATGGTGCGATGGTAATGTTGATAAGAGTGATTTACATCCTCCTCCATATAAATACCCAACATGTTCTTGTGGTGCGGGAGTGTGTCGGAAGGTGAAAGAGACAAGTGGTGAAAATGCGGGTCGCTATTTCTTTGCTTGCCCTATCGAAGGGGTATGCTATGCTATTTGTATGATTTCTGTTGCTTCATAATTTACTGAATTCCCCATTCTATGGTTTTGATACTTCATAACTTTATGACCATTTGCTTCTACCTGATCAAAAGAGTAAGTTTTCAAACAGGACCACGGAGCTTGCAATTACCAACTGTGGGAGGATGCGTTGTTGGGTAAACCAAACAATGCTCCTCTTCAGCCTGGTAGTCAGAAAACGCTTCATGATTTTTGGGACAAGGAGAGTCACCCACTTAATGAAGACAATGTAAACGACTTGGGTATGGGTGCGGGTGCGGATTCTCCTGGCAAAAGGATGAGATTAATAGGTGATTCTGAGCTTTTAGACGGAGAAGATGATGCGCTAAAGAAAGCGTCAATAGAAGGAAGGCATCGTGCAGAACTGGCAAGCCCTCCGAACCACCATGTTGATTTCCCGGAATTTGAGGCTGCTGAAGATCTTGAGGATATAGACATGTTAAACTCAGTGTCTTGGGAAGCTATTGAGGAGAAAGCAAGATCAACAATTCATCTATCAACAGCTTCCGGCATCCGTGCTCTGCAGAGAGAATTTGAAAAGCAAATATCTACTAATGTTGATTCATTTTTTGGTGGGTCTCTTTTCTTTAAAGTCTTTTGCTGGGTCGTTTAAATTTTCAAGAGATATCCCCGAGTTTCGGTTCTCATTGTCCTTTATTTTCTACAAATGCCATAGCAAATCCTTGTCCAATGGGTTGGTTAGGCCGGCTTGTTTTCTTCCATCCAACTCTAAGCTTGAAATCCCCCCAACCCGGGCCATTTTTCTGTTGTAAGTATAATCTGCTCAATTTTTTATCTCACAAGTTTATGCCCTCTTTCATTTTGCTTTGTTTAGCATAACTCCCCTGTCTCCTGTGTGCAGGTGTTTTTCCATCTTTTAATGCTATTATGGTTCCTACTCAAGAAATTAGTCACGATGATGTTTCTGGCGAATCTAATCAGCTCGTAATTAGCAACCCTGGGGAACATGCGCACCTTTCTGCTAGTTGCCTTTCTGAGGCTTCTGGAAATGCTGTTAGCACCAATGTATCACTTAGTAGTGAAAGAAAGCCCAGGTCCAAAGAACAAAGGCAAAAGCAGATTGTATTAAATGCGCTGAAAGATCTTCTCTGTGAACTTGAGTCCATGAGTCGTCTTGACCATGAGTCCATGAGAAAGGCTGCATATGATACTTTTGATGTGTTGAAAACTCTACCAGTTGACTATACAGAATTTTCAGAATATGTTTGGGAGTTCATCAATTCTACATCTTCCTTAGCTGAAGTGCAAAATTCTGTTCAAAATGGTCTTTCCCTCGAAAAGCATATTCAGCGTTTTGAGGAGGAGAAGCTGAGACTTGCTGACATCCATGACAACTTTGTCAAGACCAAGACTTTGCTTGAAGCGTCCCAGCAGCATAGTCAATCCCTTCGAGAGGAGGCCTCTCGACTCAAGGAGATGCTTCAACGAGTAGAATCCCAATTAACCTCTTGCGAGCTGGAGACCAAGAAGATGGAGACTCATCTTGGCGAGATCAACATTAGCATGTTGGAGGCTGAGAAAAGCTCGAAGATTGCGGCTGAACAAGTAGAAACTGCAAGAAAACTTGATCAGGAGATAGAAGTAAAGCAACTTGCAGCCAAGACAGCACTGGAGATGGCCAAATTTGAACTAGACAAATAGGGTTCTCTATCTTAGTAGTTGTAGAAGGAGCGGAAAGAACGTGGGCATATTCATGTGATTAGCAGAATGTGTCAGCAAATGCTAGGTGATGTATCAAAATAGTGATGTTCTCTATGCACATTATAACTTATAATTGGACCGCAGTGGTTGTCATTAAGTATGTGTGTAACTTGTGTTTTTCTTTTTTGTCTTGGAGTCTTGTCTGTAACAAAAGCAGCTTGCTGCGTGTGAATAATGGCTGACTCTTTTCTGCAAAATTGTAACATCATCCTTGTAATTATTCCAGTGGTTCATCTTTTTTGTTGGTTCAATAGGTATTATCTCTTAAAATATAGTGTTATATAAGAACTAGTTCACTAATTAGAGTAGAGTAAAAAAATAAGTTAAGTTAGTTATTTGTAATAAATATGTGTTGTCTTTCTTAAAATATTTTTACAAATCAAGTATATTGGATAGAATTATTATTATTAGAAGGACTATCTTGAAAAAAAATGCATAAATATGAAAGACAAAATAGATTGAGGGTTTATATTTAGGACCAAAATAAAAATGAAATGAGGTCTTATATTAAAGATCAAACGCAGTATTTGTGTTGTGGGCAATTGTGGATCAGAATCTACATTCCAGATAAATTACCCATTGAGATTTTCAGACTAATTCTTTTAACTCAGGTTACAGGTGCCCGCGATGTTGTGTGCCAGCATGCCGATTCTAATATGGAAAGATTAACACGGGTTGGAGCGCCGCCGTGACTTCATTCTTAAACTTGGATTGCTGCAAGTTCACCCATATTAGAATCAGGCTCTGCAAACTCCTTGCCCATTATAAGAATCGCCTATTCAATCCTCCGGAGTTGCTATTAGTCGTTTAATGTTCGTGAAGAGGCATAGCTGAGTACACCAATTCATTCATCAAAACCTTCAGTCCTATCAACTCTTCAGGCCTGGACATACTTGCTGGGATTCCTACTTGCGTTTGTCGGGACAAGTCCTTTTTATTTTAGCCTTTTCTGAGCCTGCCTGATCTGATCCCTCATTCCAGTTAAAATCAAGTTTTCTAAAAAAAAAAAAAGTACCAAAATAATTTTCTCTCTCCGCAGACCACGAGCATGCGAGTCACGTGACAGAGGAAGGCTTCGCAGGCCAAGTGGCAGCTGGCAGCCTGGAAGAGGGGTGGGAGCAGAATTGACGGATGAGTGGCTCCAGGGTTGATGATAATGCTGAAGGGGGGGAACACCTTTTTCTTTTTATATAAATAAATAATGAAATTGAATATAACCATTTGGATTTTAAAGACGACGAATGAGCATTTTCCGTTAATTTATTTAATTAGGAAAATTTTCAATACATTGTAAAATGAAACCTATTGCAAAATTAAAACACCAAAAGCATCATTTTATAATGATAAATTAAAAAGAACGGTGGAATAATAAAGATTAAATGAGCTAAATTCTGTTAATTATTATGCTTACTTTTAAGGAATTTAATTTCAACAAATGAATGGCCCAACCCAAAAGAATACGTACGAATTAAATAAATAGACAGAGTAGGTCAACTCGTGGCTCGCGTTCGTGCTCGAGCTCCCCATCTTGATTTTTTTTAAAATTTTTTTTAATGAATACTTTAAAGGGAAAATCTCAGAAAAAGCCCTTGAAATATACCAAATCTCAGATTGGGTCTTTAAATTTCGAAAATAACAGAATGATTACTAGAACAATGACCCAATCTGTCATTTGTGAAATTCAAGTGAATTGACATTTTTGCCCCTGAGCAAAAGTGAGTAGTTATTCTCTAAATAAATCTAGGTAACGCTTATATCATTCTAGTGATTACAAGATTCGTTATAGTTAATAATAAGGTACCTGATAATAATAAGATACCTGACTATGAAAAAATGAGTAGTTATTCTCTACACAAATCTAGGTAATGCTTACATTGTTTAGTGATTACAGAATTAGTTGTAGTTAATAACAAGACACCTGACTATGAAAAAAGTGAGTAGTTATTCGCTACACGAATCTAGGTAACACCTAAACTCTTATAGTGATTCCTTGAATCATTGTAGTGAATGAATAAATGAGGGTAAAATTGTCAATTTGCCTGAATTTCACAAATGACAGATTGGGTCAATGACCCATTCTGTCATTTTTGAAATTTAAAGACCTAATCTGATATTTTCATATTCCAAGGATCTTTTTTGGGATTTTCCCTACTTTAAACTCGCCGCAACTAGAAGACGGACGCCAAACATATCGGGAATTTATTAAAAAGTTAGGAAAATGTTAAAAAAAAAAGTTAAAAAACCAAATATATATATGCTTTGGCAAAAATGAAAAACAACCTTCCACGGCCACGAAGATTTATTCCCGTCACATTCTTTTTGATCTTCCAATTGCAAAATCTTTTCCGATTTGTTTTCCTTTTATTAATTAACGATTCGGCAAGCCAATAGCTTTTCATTGATGATGACGGACACATTCTTCCAGGTATCTGATAACGCCGGCGATCCCCCTTATCGCCGTCGGCCGTAATCTGGCCTTCCTCCCTACGCACATACTCTCGATGCGCACGACATCGAAACTATTATTATGGAACCTTACTTTCTTTTGACGAGTAAAGGTCTTATGTTCTATCTCCCGCCTTATTACGTTCTCTTTCAAGTTCCACGGTCTTCGCTTACCGGTGCGCCATTCCTAGTCGATTGATTCCGCTCCTGTTTGAATTCCGATTTCCTTTTACGAAAATCAAGCTCTCAGTTCTGCCAGCCTTTAAGAGCAGACTTATTCGATCTATGATGGTAATTAATGGTGGTTGTAAAGTACTAATGCCTGCAATGAATGCCTGAGTTGATTCGGCCTTGATTTTCTTAATCACATTTGCTTTACCTTCCCTTGAACGGGAATCTGATAGATTCCCTTCTAAAATTGGCTGGGTAGTAAATGGCGCAGCATCTCCGTGATTGTTGACTGAGAAGAAATTTATTGTGCTCTTTTCCCTAGCCACATTTCTTGAATGGCCATCTTCTGGGAATACGATCACTGAGTGTGGCATACAGAAGGAGAGTTTGCGTGCTGGGAACCAAGTGCGTTATTGTAGCTTTCCATCTCAATGGGAGCGAAATCGAAGAATGTTGAGGAATCTAGATCAAAATGTTGCAATCCTGTTAAGAAGGCAGGACCTGTAACAATGGATCATGTCCTAATGGCATCCCAGGAGACCAAGGAAGAAAGGGAGCTAAGGATTCGTAGTCTTTTTGGTTTCTTTGATAGGACAAATGCTGGCTATTTAGATTATGCCCAGATTGAGGCTGGCCTCTCTGCACTTCAAATACCATCTGAGTATAAGTATGCCAAGGATTTGTTAAATGCCTGTGATGCTGATAAAGACGGGCGAGTTGATTATCAAGATTTTAAAAAGTACATGGATGACAAGGAGCTTGAGCTTTACCGCATATTTCAAGCCATTGATGTTGAACACAACGGATGTATTTTACCTGAGGAGCTCTGGGAGGCACTTGTAAGGGCAGGTAAACCAATGACCTCCTTCATGTTCTAAAGTGTTGGCCCATACTTTAGTTTATAGCTTTAGACATCTTATAGGCTTTTCTACCAATTTCTGGTAAATAAGGACCTATGCTTTCTTTTATTGATGGTTTAATTCTTATATACTTTGATATTTTGGTTTCCTGGTTTTAATTCCTATATTTTGTTTGAGATCTAACGATATGAAACCTCAGGTTTGGGTAGGCTGGGACAATGAATTTGAATTCAGATACTTCAATCACCAAAACTTTGGCTTTTATGGTTTGACTGGTTAAAGATGTATAAGCATGGTGCATTTAATCTCTCTCTGGATTTTCAGCGGTAACCAAACATCAAATGTCCTCTCAAGTTCCACGTCTATGATTTAGAGCGTAGAGATTTGACTGTGTTGTATATATCCTTCCCTCCTTGATCATTAAAGGAAAATATTCACAGTAGACTGAGCAGTACTCTTATGCGTGAAATTCGGAGAAGCCAGAATTACATGCACTGATGTAGTGTTATGAATGACAATTTTGGCATATTTCTTCCTGATGAATATTTATTCATAAAGTTCCTTTCATATCAAGGCTCTGGTTAAACTATGGAAATTGAATGAGAAAGGAAAGTGAAAAGCTGTTTAAATTTTATTAATTCTCTTACTTTATTGCATAATACTAACCAGTTATCCTTCTTATAGATTCTCATAATCTTTGACACTTGCTCTACAGCTAGCTTAAGCTGATCCTAAATTCCCAGCTAAATCATTCAGAGATTCAACATCCTCTCCTTTTTGTCAGCTATAGTACTTGTATACTAGCTCAGAGTGTAAGGGAATTGATTACAATTTATTACAGTACTAAACTTCTGAGTTAGTGCATTAACAGCTGTTGATTAACTACTCTGGATAATTTTCTCTTGGACATGTAACAATTATTCTCCCACTATAAAAGATCCTTGACCTCAAGGATCATATTTCAGTGCCTCTAGTATCTAACCTAGGGAGTTGCTTCTGGATAGTGATCAGGTCTTCCTATGCAGTGTCTTCCACACTTGTGTTTTTCCATTCCATCAAGACTCAAGTAACTGGTAAATTGCCTCATTTGACCTTCTTTCTAGCCAAAATCTTCTCTGGTCCCACTTGAAAATCCCCTCATCATCCAAGTTTGGTTGGTCTGTAGTGTGTAGAACTAGGAGCATTCTCATCCTTGTGCTTCAACGTTGAACATGGAAAGCTGGTTTGCTCTGCTCAATCAGTTTTTATCTGTAGGCCTGCTGCTCGGTTTGTTTTAAAATCTTCCAAAGGCAATCCGGATCTTTCTGCTAATTTACCTAGAGCAGGTTTATTGGACCTTTCAAGACCCAAATAGTCATTTTCAACAGCTGAAAATGCATGCTAAGACCACATAGCGACTAATGTGTTTTTCCTTAGAATTCCTAATGTGTCCCTCTAATGGATGGTATCCTTACTCTAACTCTTGTTATACACTAAATGTCGTTGAAAAAGGACTAAGATAAACTTCCTTGAGTGGGATTTGGACGTTGTGTTCATTAGTTCTTGGAGTTGGAAGGTAGCTGTATTGGTACGGCTGGATGGCATTAATAAGAATTCATATAACCCCTCATGAATGCAAAAGGCTGTTTTGTGAACCTCAGTAGGCTTCGTCAAAGCCATTCCTCTTCTTAGTTAACATAACTGGGGAAGCAAATGAACTGCAACCAGGCCTCTTTGCTTCTTGTTCACTTCCCTCAGCTATTTCTGCATAGCATTAGCTTA